CTATAGTAGTTTGAAATGCAAAATTATTTATTAAACACAAACAATGCTTAAAACAGTAAAATACCCAACGAACAACGTTGTATAACATACAATTAAATTTTTATTTAACAACCGATCAATGGTTGTAAAAAGGCACTACACGTTTCAACATCGTGCACTCCCGAGGATGACATGAACGATGTTGAAACGTGTAGTGCCTTTTTACAACCATTGATCGGTTGTTAAATAAAAATTTAATTGTATGTTATACAACGTTGTTCGTTGGGTATTTTACTGTTTTAAGCATTGTTTGTGTTTAATAAATAATTTTGCATTTCAAACTACTATAGCGTTTTCTCCTTTTTCTTTACTGTGTTGAATTTATTCTTTATTTAACGGTACTGAACATGTATTTTTCAGATATTTTACAAATATTTCTGATTGATATCAGTGAGCTTGAATACCACAATGCCCAACCAGCTATCTGTGGCGTACGAATATATATCATTGAGGCTAAGATGACACGTGACTGTTCACTACGGGCTTCAAATGTGTGTTCATAGGTTTCTTCTGATTTCTACATTTTATGTCTAGGATAATTTTGATAGATCCCAGGTGGGGCACATTAGATATTTTTGAATAGTTTCCTCATTGATGGCAGCATAACACCTATCCACCCATGATTCTCTTCCGAGGTGCCTTTTAGGCAATCCCCTCCTTTGTTGGAACGCCCTAACTGAAAATGGCAGTGGTTCGATAATGGTATGCTTGTAAGACCTGTTGGTGTTATATGATGCTACTGGGGTGAAATGACCTTTGTGGGTGTCTGACGCACATCCCACGATCAGTTTTATATCCTTTCAATCTTACCCAACTGTGTACCACTCATAATGATCATTGGTTGTGCATAATCCAGGAAAGAGTGGATAAGAGACGTTGGTAGAGCATAAGCAGATGACGTTCTTCGGCTTTATTTCCTTCTGCAACCTTCAGTGCATTGATGCCTTAAGTAGCTTTGGTTATCATAGTGTTAATGTGACTGGTAAAGTTATGTTGCCTGAGAAAGGTTACCCAAGGTAAATTAACTGTTTCTCCCTAAGAATAGCAATGCCTGGAAAGGATGGTGATGGTCCTTATTAACATGTCTATTGTTGACTGACTTTGATGACCATTCCCTTGTCATTATACCACTTGCTAACCCTACTATCCGTTTGTTATATTTTGTTTATGATTATAGTTTTGCTAGAGCCTCTGTTTTATACCAAAATGTCTTCAGCAAAGGTAGGCCACAATGCTAGCTAGATCCATGATGCAGATCCTGAAGAGGATGGACGGGAGTGGTAATCCCCAAGACAGACTTACACTGATGGTGATCTAATCTGATTGCTACCGTCTATGCCTCAGAGTGCTTCCCCAGGGAGCCACAGTACCAATTCTCACATGGAACATTTCACCAACAAGAATGGGCAGCTGGACCCTATAGCAGGCCCAAAGATACTGCCAAGGTGTCTTCGTCAGGTTCAAAACTTTCCCAAGTATCATCTGTGAATTTAGTAACACCGATCAATGTTTCTCCCATTAACCCAAGTATCGTCTGTGAATTTAGTAACACCGATCAATGTTTCTCCCATTAACCCAAGAATCGTCTGTGAATTTAGTAACACCGATCAATGTTTCTCCCATTAACCCAAGTATTGTCTGTGAATTTAGTAACACCGATCAATGTTTCTCCCATTAACCCAAGAATCGTCTGTGAATTTAGTAACACCGATCAACGTTTCTCTCATTTCCCAAGTATCGTCTGTGAATTTAGTAACACCGATCAACGTTTCTCCCATTAACCCAAGTATGATCTGTGAATTTAGTAACACCGATCAACGTTTCTCCCATTTCCCAAGAATTGTCTGTGAATTTAATAACACCGATCAACGTTTCTCCCCCGTAAGACAGCAGTTAGTTGATAGACTTGTAATGCTAAAATTGGGTTTAAGTTCCCTACAGTGGACACAGCAGATAGTACAAAGTGGATCAGCTGTAAAACAAACTCTTCTATTACAGTATCTTCCTAATGATGAAGTAGCATTCTGATAGGCAGGACTTCTAGTTGCAGCCTTCTCTGGGATCTTGACAATTATTAGATGGCCTTTAAGACGAGTGTTCCTTCAAATGTTTGGGTCCATATCTCAGGTGTGCTACTTGTTGCCCAGCTACATTGATACTTGACGGCTTGGCCTCTGTAAACTTCTTAAAGGAGATTAATCCACCATCAAGACCTGGAGCACCATTATTTAGCTGTATTTATGGCTCCGTGTATTTTGTCCAAACTAATCATTGCTTTCATATCCGTATGTAGTTGTAACTCGGACAGGGACTGCTTTAGCTTCAGCCTCTCTACATGTCACCATGGTTAAAGTATTTGAGCATGAAGGCCTTGCTTTGTCCTACATCTGAATGAAATTGTCATGTTTTTGGTTCCTGTGGAAGCACCAGAATGAAATACTTGTGAGATTGATCTTGGTGCACTGTTCAATCCATTTCACACCTTGTGCTTTGAATGTAAATCATGTGTAGAGAGCACAGGCTCTATTCCATGTTATTGCCTTCTCTGCCTAGGATGGGTTATGCCTTATCCATATGAACACAGACTGGGTTTGATTTCATGTTTTCCAGGCTTTATCAATACTGCTGTTCCACCAGCATGGAGTGTTCCTTTTACGGAAGACATTCCCTTAACTTTAGTCAATGGCAGAGAGATGATAAATGTGATAATGGAGAGACGCTTAAGGATAAAACCACTGCTAGGTAGCATGACACCAATGTGATAAATGTGATAATGGAGAGATGCTTAAGGATAAAACCACTGCTAGGTAGCATGACACCAATGTGATAATGGAGAGATGCTTAAGGATAAAACCACTGCTAGGTAGCATGACACCAATGTGATAATGGAGAGATGCTTAAGGATAAAAGCACTGCTAGGTAGAATGACACCAATGTGATAAAAGTGGTAATGGAGATGCTTAAAGATAAAACCACTGCTAGGTAGCATGACACCAATGTGATAAAAGTGGTAATGGAGAGATGCTTAAGGATAAAAGCACTGCTAGGTAGCATGACACCAATGTGATAAAAGTGGTAATAGAGAGATGCTTAAGGATAAAACCACTGCTAGGTAGCATGACACCAATGTGATAAATGTGATAATAGAGATGCTTAAGGATAAAAGCACTGCTAGGTAGCATGACACCAATGTGATAAAAGTGGTAATAGAGAGATGCTTAAGGATAAAACCACTGCTAGGTAGCATGACACCAATGTGATAAAAGTGGTAATGGAGAGATGCTTAAGGATAAAAGCACTGCTAGGTAGCATGACACCAATGTGATAAAAGTGGTAATAGAGAGATGCTTAAGGATAAAAGCACTGCTAGGTAACATGACACCAATGTGATAAATGTGGTAATTTTATACAAAAAGGAAACTTGAGAACTTGTATTTGATAAAGACTCTATTAACGTGAAACATAAAAAGTGTCTTACAATTGATGATAACTTTCACTTATGATTTCAGTACAAGAGTTAAGACAAAAAGGAAATTTAAAACAGCTTCAGTTGATTTATGTGGAGAAGAAGTCTTTGTATCAAAAGGAAACATCAGTTGGCTTACTTAGAGAAAGTTTTGGAAGAGATTTGAACTGAAAGATAACTTAAAAGCATCACCTCAGATCATGAACACAAAGAAAATTACAACACTTGACACTACAATGAAACTTAGGGGAAGTAGAAATTAAGAATACAGTTTCAAAAATTTCTTGCAAAGCTACACAAGAGTTATCAGTGCATATATGTCCTAATCTTGAACGAAGAGACTATAGGGAAGGCAGCTAGCCAAATGCACCCACTAACAACTCCTGGATTATTACTCTTGTCTGACCAAATAGTGGGATCTGACTGTCACTCTTATAGCACACCCACTACCCTAAAGTGTGGAGAACATTTTAGCAATGAATCACCAACCCTCAGGTTCACACTCCATGCATGCTAGCCATTAGATAGTAGCTACCCCTTCAAGATTTGTTTGAAGTTAAGCACAAAGCTACATAATGGGCTATCTATGCTCTGCCTACATGGGTATCAAAACTCTGTTTCAAGCATTGTAACTCCACAGACATATCATTGTGCCACTGAGGGGCAGCCATTAAGAATACAGATGTTAAAATAACAACAAAACTTAGTGATTTGGAAGTAGTATGAATTAAGAATAAAATGATATCTAATCACACAAACATAAGACTTCTTATAAGTGGGTTTTGTTTTCAGTTAACATTTACCAAAATGTGTTTTCTGTGGTGATGATACACTGAACAGTCATATTTTATGTGGTATAATTAAACAAAATCATCCATAGCCATACTGGTAATTTCAAATACAGGTCAATATTTAAAAAAAAAGTAAAATACTATAAAATTTATACATGAAATAAAATCATCACTCAACTTCTGGTCAAACTCCGACTCTTAAAATACAGTAAAAATAACTCTTCAGAGATTGAATCAGTCAGTCTAAACACAGGCAGATTTGGTATAAAAATTTAATTTTATATTAAAGTTAGATTTATCTAAAAACCTCAAAATGGATAAATTCCTTAACGTGCTCTTTATTAACATCACTTCAACTTGCTGTAATATTTTGTTACAGGTTACAGTAACCAACCATCAATAAATTACCCTTCCTTACCCTTTGTTAAAGAATTTCAGATTTCAATTTGCAAATTGTCCGTAGACATAGGCCTAGCCATGTGATATTACTTTTAAAATGCCACGAGTGTAAAAGTGTAAAAAAAATTTGACTTATGCCTCAAATATTAGTTTTTGTTTTACTCTCTTCTGATCCAAAACTTTCTTTGCTAAGATAGAAAAAATGGTCACACATTTACTTTCACAGTTGGTGGATTCTTAAAGCTGTAATGTACAAATCAAATATACACTTCCACTGAAGAATAACAGACGTGAAGAACTTGTAGCAACCCTTCACTGTTGATACAGACTCCACAAACCAAGAAAAACAACTGACCCTAGTATACATGTACCAGAATAAACCACTAAGCTACCGATAATATTTCTGTAACTTTTCACAGGAACAATCACGTCTATGATAGCTTGGGCAATCCACTGTCCATCGAGACGAAAACAGGGTATTAAATTCAAAATGGCTAAAGCTCCTGAAAATGACACTATGTATCTGATCACATTGTTAAGTAACTATTAAAAATAATTCATTGCATATATTAAAATCAAAATATTATCACAATTTTTCTAAAGTTTTGACTATTGAAAGTTTGTTGACTGTTTTACAAACATGGTTTTCAATTCAGCTACTTGGATTTATATTTCTTAGTTTCATGCATTTCAATTCAAACTTTTTCTGGATTTACTCAATGATTTTGAAATATTTTCATCACATCATAACAAGTTCTCTGCTTCTATTTGTGATTATGTTTTTTGTAATTGGGTGTACCATTCATGTTTCTTAGCTATGAGTTTAGGGTAACTACATTATGGTAACTGTGCTACCATGAGTTTAGGTTAACTACATTATGGTAACTGTGCTACCATGAGTTTAGGTTAACTACATTATGGTAACTGTACTACCATGAGTTTAGGGTAACTACATTATGGTAACTGTACTACCATGAGTTTAGGGTAACTACATTATTGTAACTGTACTACCATAAGTTTAGGGTAACTACATTATGGTAATTGTACTACCATGAGTTTAAGATAACTACATTATGGTAGCTGTACTACCATGAGTTTAAGATAACTACATTATTGTAACTGTACTACCATAAGCTTAGGGTAACTACATTATGGTAATTGTACTACCATGAGTTTAAGATAACTACATTATGGTAGCTGTACTATCATGAGTTTAGTGTAACTACATTATGGTAGCTGTACTATCATGAGTTTAGTGTAACTACATTATGGTAGCTGTACTATCATGAGTTTAGGCTAACTAAATTATGGTAATTATACCACCATAAGTTTAAGGTAACTACATTATGGTAACTGTACTACCATGAGTTTAGCGTAACTACATTATGGTTACTGTGCTACCGTGAGTTTAGGGTAACTACATTATGGTAGCTGTACTATCATGAGTTTAGGGTAACTACATTATGGTAGCTGTACTATCATGAGTTTAGGGTAACTACATTATGGTAGCTGTACTATCATGAGTTTAGGGTAACTACATTATGGTAGCTGTACTATCATGAGTTTAGGGTAACTACATTATGGTAGCTGTACTATCATGAGTTTAGAGCAACTACATCATTGTAACTGTACTACCATGAGTTTAGTGTAACTACATTATGGAAACTGTACTACCATGAGTTTAAGGTATTTCAATAACTTTAACATGTAAGCATATTTGTTTGACATACATTATAAAGTTCCAGCACTAAGTTTAGAAAAACAACAACAAAATAATTAAAAAATATTAAAAGATACTTTAAAAAAGTTTCATAAGCGTGGATGACTCTAGATGGCACCATGTAAAACTTGGATATCCAGTCAGACACACCTACTGCAAAGACAGAAAAGGCTTATATTTGAGAACACAAATTCCAAAATTCCATGTTTCAACAAAACAACTTTGACATACTACATAAAATTAAATGAACCATACAGCTGTGAGTGGTAGGTTCTAACATCAGTTGTTTTCTGATACAGCTGTGTGTGGTAAGTTCTAACATCAGTTGTTTTCTGATACAGCTGTGTGTCGTAAGTTCTAACATCAGTTGTTTTCTGATACAGCTGTAAGTGGTAAGTTCTAACATCAGTTGTTTTCTGATACAACTGTGAGTGGTAAGTTCTAACATCAGTTGTTTTCTGATACAGCTGTGAGTGGTAAGTTCTAACATCAGTTGTTTTCTGATACAGCTGTGAGTGGTAAGTTCTAAAATCAGTTGTTTTCTGATACAGCTGTGAGTGGTAAGTTCTAACATCAGTTGTTTTCTGATACAGCTGTGTGTGGTAAGTTCTAACATCAGTTGTTTTCTGATACAGCTGTGAGTGGTAAGTTCTAAAATCAGTTGTTTTCTGATACAGCTGTGAGTGTGGAAAAATGCTAACATCTATTTGCAACATAAACAGAATTGTTTAAAATACCCATTGTTGAAACTTATATCAAATTTTTAACAATGTATAATCAAGACTTACGTATAACTTGGACAGAGTTATTCTTAAACCAGTTGTATGTTACTTTACAGTATTTTCTAGTAATCATAAACATACCTTCTTATAATTGGTCAGTTTAAATTCAACCAGATGGTTGTCAATACATGACAGAGAGGTGTCAGCTAAGGTCAAGATGAGTGGTGACCCCCATAGCAATGGCATGTATCTGGTAAAAAAGGCAATCAATGTAAAAAAGTGAGTGCCTGTGATAAAGAGTTCAAGGAGTTGTTTGAATTGTTAAGAATACAAACCTATTTATTAGCTGTAAGTCTTTGTTGGAAAGTTTAGGGTTACAGATGTTGAGAGTTATTTATTAGCTGTAAGTCTTTGTTGGAAAGTTTAGGGTTACAGATGTTGAGAGTTATTTATTAGCTATAAGTCTTTGTTGGAAAGGTTAGAGTTACGGACGTTGATAGTTATTTATTAGCTGCAAGTCTCTGTGGGAAAGGTTAGAGTTATGGACTGTTGATAGTTATTTATTAGCTGTAAGTCTTTGTTGGAAATGTTAGAGTTACGACGTTGATAGTTATTTATTAGCTGTAAGTCTTTGTTGGAAAGGTTAGAGTTACGAACGCTGATAGTTATTTATTAGCTGCAAGTCTCTGTGGGAAAGGTTAGAGTTATGGTCATTGATAGTTATTTGTTTGTAAAGTATTCTTCCTGGGTGTGAAGTGAGTTGATCTAGTTGACAAAAGAGAATGAATCGTTAACTGTAAAACATTTAATGGTATGGGATTGGAGTAAAAAGACTAGAAATTTAGTAACTTAGTAAGAATGTGCACAGACAGAAGAAAATATAAGTTTAGTAGGCAGATCTATTTGTATACTTTAAGAAGGTCATTTAATGTACTGAGTTGGGAACCACAGGGGTAAATTTGATCTAAAGTAGTCTTGGAGCTAGTTTGATGTTTTTAAGTTTCAAAGGATGCATGAAACATTTTCTTCTTGTAAAACTACACACAGCTGTTGTAAAACTACACCCAGCTGTTTTAAGTGGTTTAATTTGGTTTACATAAATAATATAAACTTTCTTATCCATAAAAGCAACTCCAATATCTTTTTTTTTTTCAGGATGGGAAATGACAATGTCAGCATTGTTTCCAAGCTCCTTTAAAACAGAGAGATTATTGGGGAAAATAGCAGGGGTAAGTTTGGGGGAGTTGTATAATGTGAATAGAGCTATGTTTTTTAATTATGCATTAATTAACTTAAGTAATTAACTTCGTAAGCAGTGAAGATTTAAGGTCAGAGAACTGTAGATAGGAAAATTCTTGAGCATCCTATCATTTGTTCAAAAAAGTTAAAATAGTTTAGTTGGAGGTAAGCAAACGTTAAGACCTTAAGTAAGTGGTCACTTGTGCCTCATTACAGAGGTGTGATTACAAATGACTTTACCCAAATCAAGACACATGCATTGCCGAGTTCTTCTAGTCTAATGTTCTTGATGTGTGCATGTTGGGCAATCTTATTCTTAAATCGTATGATGAGGGAGGATAGGTGAATGAAGTCCAGATAAGAGATTCTGTGTTGTAATACAGACAAATGGAGTCATCCTTCAGTCAAACCTTAGCTTACATTTTTCTGTCACTATGAACAGTCATGGACTGACAACCAGCAAGCATAGGTCTACTTGCATTCATTAAATAAAACTGTCTCAGTTACCTTCTACACAAAAACACACTTACCTGCACTGAAAATTTCAGCAGGTTGTCCAACAAAAAGCACGCTGTCACGACCCTCACGATTCACGGATACCAAGCGTGTAACGTTGTCCAACAAAGGGTTCAGGCAAGCCAATTCAGCATTTCGACATGGACTACTGGAGTTGCATGTACCAGAGAACTCTGTTAGCATCTTTCGAACTGGAAGACAGTAGTAGTGCTGTGAAGAGATAATAAGTCAAGTTTAGAACAAAATTTCACAAATAACTATACTATAAACAAACTTTTGTTTACAAATACTTGTTTTAATTGATGCAGCGAAAAAAAACATCACCTGTGGACAACAACATTTAGTTCAGGTTTATGAATATTATTCTCAGTTACTGATAAACAACCATCACCTGTGGACAACAACATTTAGTTCAGGTTTATGGGTATTATTCTCAGTTACTGGTAAACAACCATTCTCAGTTACTGATAAACA